ACCCAGTTTTAAAATAGCGTAAAATAATAAGAATAATGGTTATTAATTAGGCATCGTTGATTGTGTTAATCTTTCAAAAAATAGTTATTACTTTTAAGTGTCGCTACAAATTATAATTGTTAAAATAAAAGAAGTAAAGTATATGTGTATAGATATATTTATACTTAATTTAATATTAAATAAAATATTTAATTAAAAGAAATTGCAAAAATAAAATATTTTTATTAAATTTTAAAATATTAAAAAGCCGTAATTATTTTAATACAAAAATAATATTAAATATTACTATAATAATTAATGAGTTGATTGTAGCTTTAGTTAATTAAAAAAAAAACCTTGAAATTATAACCTTTAAAAATTAAAACACGCATTAACTGTTATTAGTGATGTACGTAATAAATGTACTTTACTAATTAGCTTAAATTTAATAATATTTCCTTTCATAAGAGAGTATTTGAATTCAAAGTTTGTTGGATAAATATTAAATAACAACTATTTAATTAACCATATAGAATTACATCTAATATTTTTATAATTTTCATAAAAAATATGAAATTTAATTTAGAGGAACAATAGTATTTTTTTGTAAATACATTGATGTTATAGTGTATTTTGTCTATAAAATATGATATTAAATTTAATTAAATTGATTATATTTGATTTTAATTTATTTACGGTTAACCGTGCAAGATTACATAAGATTTAAATTTCTGTATATCACATAATTAAACTTTATTGATTACGTGCTTATTAATAATTACATTTACTGAAAATCATTATTCTATTAAAATATTATAATGCACAGATGTGTAGTTTTCTTTTTATATTTTAAATTATCGTCATGTAAAATTTAAACTATACTTAATACAATTAAATTAATATAATTTCAAGATTTTTCCATTGAAGAGTTAAAAAGTTATAGTTAAGTTACTTTTAACTAATTTATCTATCTAGTTACTTTTAATTCAAAAGTAGCTTCTAAATTAGCAAATAATTTTTTTTTTCAATAATGTGTAGTTATAAATCAATTAATTAATTTTATAATTTCGTTAAGGTTTATATTTTTTTCATGATATTAGCTCTATAAATTAAAAAATATTTTGTTTTATACATATTATTATTTTTATAGAATAAAAACTTGAAATAGGTACCATGTATAGCAAAACCTAATAAATTGTAAAATGTTGAAGTATTGATTGCACTATTGCTGAATTTTAATATATACGTAAATACAGAAATATAAGTTTCTATAGAAATTTCATCTAAACAGACTAAATATATTAATTTTAAATTTCAAACAACATTAACGAATTATTCAGTTCAAAATTAAATCCATTTATATTTTAAAAAAAAACCAACTTACGAGAAATTTGGTCATCCATGTTTAGGGTTTTCCACTAATGATAAAATTCGCATTTATAGAAAAGTTATTTACAAAATTAACTTAAATAATAATTTATTACTTTAACTAGTTTTTAAGATTCTATAATTGAAGCCCTCTCTTTCTTATTTATTTAGTAAAAAAAAAAAAATGGAGTATTTCTACAATAATATATTTTTGTTTTAATGTATGTTTTTATTAGATTTTTTATTTTAATTTAGCATAAAATGTAAATATGCATTTAAAAAAAATGTAAGTTTAAATTGTTTTTATTAAGTAGAATTTTTTATTTCTAATTTAACTAATAAAAATGCCTTTTAAACTTATATTTTTCTTTAATAACTCATTTAGAATTTAACAAAACATTTAGTTAACTATTTCAGTCTTGAACAATATTCTAAACTTGTATGTTATTTATTTATATGATTAATTAGTATTTTATTTAATAATATATATAAGACATGTACAATAATTAAATTAAGTATTTTTAGTGATATGAAAAAGTATACATTGTTAAATTTAATATTTTTATCATAAACCTCCAAAATTTATAGCGTTTTTTATTATCTCACGAAAATTAATGAAAATTTTTGAAAATGACTTGTTCATAAAGTACCATTTATCTTTATATATAAGTAATCACATTATAATCGATAAAGAAGTTAAATGATAGTTTGAGAACACTCCAACGCTACCTATCCGAACGTTTTAAGAATCATAGTTTATACTCAAAAATTAATCCCAAGTTATCCTAAAAAAATTTTTTTATTATTATTTTGTTTTGTTACAGATTATTTTAAAAATAATATTTATATATTTAACTTATTCACCGGGATTTATATATATTTTTTTTAAGATTTTGGTTTAAGTGTAAGATTTTAAACTTTAAAGTGAAATCTAATATTGACTTTTGGTACATTGATTAAAAAAATTCATTTTTATAAACTCAAGACAATTTTTTAATAAATTTTAAACAATATATTATTTTTTATTGTTTTTCTAAAATATCGTTACATTGAAAAAAAAATATCTAAATCATAAAAACATGTATAGTATACATTGTATTCAATACAAAAGTTTATTATCACTATGTTAGTAAATATTATAATTTCATATTTGCATATTAAGAAGCAATATTAAATTTGATATAAAACTAATAAAATTATATATTATTTCATTGTTTATTTTTGAATTCAATTTATTCAAAGCTATCCAATGAATAAGAATAAACTTTTATAAGTTTTTTAAAACCATAAATAGTACTTATATATTATTATTATTATTATTATTTAAGAGTTATTAAAATATAACAATAAATCATTTTTTACTATTATTTTATTTCTTCTAAAATAAATATAGCTATATATGAGTTATAAATTATATATAATTAGAATGTTTTAAAACTTTTAAGTAGAATTTGATTAGACACATCTTTATGTAAAATTATTTTAATCATTTTTTATGACATGTATAGAATAACGTTTTAAAAGTAAACTTTCAATATAGTTTTTAATAGTAAGTATTTAAAATGAAGTTGAATAAGTTTAGTAGTGCATTATAAATTTTACAAACTATCCATTGCTACTTCACACATATGAATTAAACTTAAAAAATATACAAGTAAAAGTTTTATAATATGGTATTTAATGAAAGAATTACTTGTATACATTAAAAATTATCTTTTGCTCTCACTGTGAACAAATTATTTTTTATCTTATATACTTTTGTTGATTATTATTCAAATATATTACATTCATATTAAATATTTATGTTTACGAATTGCATATACATAATATTAATAAGAATATATAGGAGTAAGATTTCATTTAAGTTAGAAAGTTATCGGGTTAAGGACTATACAGGATCTTTAAGTTTACTATCGGAAATTTAGATTGATTGCTTATGTTTGTTAGACAGGTTGAAACCATTTATCGCGAATTGACTACATTAGTTTTTAGTTAAATTAAAATACAATGTATCGTAATGAGTAGAAATTTATTAGATAATTCACTTATATAATAGTGTATCAGCAATGTTGTAGCAAACTTTAATATTTCAATATTTCTTACAGTATTTGAATTTATAAATTACATTTACTATTTTACTATACAATCAGCAGAATTTATCTCTTAGCTAAAAATAATATTCATTGATATGTTTGTAAAGTTGTGAGTTTTGGTTATGATTTATAAATTTAAATTAAACGAATTATGTGTACCATTTTAGAGATCTATTAATATGACCTAGTTGGTGATGACATAAAAAGGGCAATTTCTTTGTCTGAATGTTGTGTACCTATATGTGCAGAATGTGATCAAAAAATATTTACTTATAAAGAATTCGTTTATTGTTCCATTAATATAGCTGTTAATAATCATTTTACAGAATCATTTAAATGATTTATAAATAGTTATATAAATGTTAAAAATAGACACAGCAGGAGATAATGGTCTTATAAGTTGAATTTTTGTTTATAAATTATTTGAAATTGTTTGCTATAATTTAAAATATAAAAATAATATATTGCGTATGTAATGGTCTAAATATATTTTAAAAATGACCATTTAAAGTTGTATTCTAACAATTTATACCATGTTAACAGTATTTTTCTAAATAATATTCATATATAGCGAACACAGCATAGTAAGTAAAAAAAAAGTAATGCTTTTTTTAGTTTACTTAATATTTAATGATTACCAAAAACATTTAAACAATAATATTAATTATTCTCAAAAAATTTCTATATCATACGTTTTTACAATTTTAATTAAAAACATATTGTATACTTATAGCGGTATGTAAAATACTAAAATTCAATATTGTATTCCATAAATTTTATTGATCAATATATTAAAATTTTGGATAGTATTTATGGTCTTGTAAACTATTATAATTCAATAGAAAAATATTGTTATTTCATGAGAATTTTTAGATAAATCTATTATAATTCTAATTTCTAACATAATCTATCACAGGTTTATTTCATATAAGTAATATAATATTTTATCTATATTGCTTACATGAAGTTCGTGTATTTTTGTCTTAATCATTCAAATGCAGGTATTATAAATCCATTTAGTATAGCATAGAAGCAGTGATATTTATTTATTTTTTATTTCTAACAAAATTTGTTTATATTATAATATATTATTTTCTGTACATTGTATAAATTGTAGATAATTATTCTCAGATTTTAGATTTTAAATTATGTTTTTAAAAATATTTTTTTTTCTTTTTATTATATTTACTCTGTACATATCAGTTAGTTTACATTAAATAAGTGTGCTACGTATTATTTTACAGCTATACGTTTGTAAGAAATACTCCTAAGTAGATAGCAATGTTGGTATTGAAATTCACGTGAAATTATGATTATGATGTGTTAATATAAAATAATATATGTACCTATGTTTACTATGACTCATAAATTAAAAATATGTAGTATATTGTAAATTAATTGCGGATAATAGAAACAATTTTTTCATATCATATGAGATAGTTACAAATGAATACTTCGAGATATATTTGCGTATATTTATATGAATTTTTTATAATTTAAGGTCATAAACACTCTATCTATTCATTAATAACCATGATGAAATATATATATCATACACACCTGCAGCAATAACTGTCAGAATTCCAGCCGGAATTGCTAAGCCCAAGTTCATTTTTCCTTTTTCTTCTATAGTGGCAACCATACCCATAACTAACCCGGTAATGCCACAAACTATCTGAAAAAAAAATAATTATAACTATACAAAGATTACAAAAAACTAAAATTATATAGAAGAAAACGTATTAAATTATAATAGTATTTATATGAAGGGTTAAGTAGTTGTGCTAGGTATACCATATAAATCAAAGGATATATATATATACATTATACACATGTAAATTATTTAAGCAATTGTACTAAAAGTAAATTATATTTAAACTTTTATATATATATATATTTTTTTTTTGTTTATATTTTTTTGTGTATTTTTGTTAATTTTGTGTGTATAACTTATTGTGTTGATTTCTGTTTTAGTCTATACTTTTTTTTTAATGCTTCAATTCAAGGAGACTATTACCTAGTACTGGTATTATGCATTTTTACTGCAATTAAAATTGAATAAATTACTATAAAAAGTCTAATTTTTCCTTATATAAATATTTATTTCAATTTTTATGTATTTAGGTTATATACAGTGTGTCCCAATAGTCCCTATCACTCTTAATATCCCCATGGAAAATCAATATATTTAAACGCGGTTTTATTTTTTTTTAATTCAAAAATTGTCAAAAGTTTTTTTGATGTATTTAAAAATTTTTAATTTTTAATATGGCCATTTTTTGAACATATTTTTTAAAGCAGTTCAAAAAAAAATAAATATTAAAATTGAATAGAAATTAATCAAGTTATGTTTTTGAATAATTGTAGTAAAAAAATCAAATGTTTTACATTTCAATAATAAAATATCTATTTCAGCATGACAATACTTTTACATACTTATTTAAAGTTTTGATTCGAATATAAATAAAAATAGCTGTGTCTTATAGTTTTCTGAACAATGAAACTGGTTACCTTTTTTTAAGTATTTTAATTATCATGAAGTGAACCCTTAAGTTACGAAATTGGACATGATCTTACAGTTATAATTAATGCAATTTATAATAATAATATCTACGCATATCGTAATTTTGTAAATTACAATTAAAGTTATTATTTTTTGTTCTTTCTTTATAACTATTACTGCTATTTGTGTCATACGTACAGTACGTACTGTGTCCTTAGCTATAATTTTTTATTTCTTACATATTTTGTTCAATATTTAAAATGACTCATACATACTCAATACATGTGTACGTCGACATGGTGAAATATTACTTCCGAAACAACGAAAGTCATAGACAAGCTGCTTATATAGTTATGGAATTGAGTATCCTGATCGTAAAAAACCACCTTACAATGTTATAAACAGATTAATATCTCGGATTTTTGGAAACAGGTAAAATTGCATTATCTTCATGTTATAATAAAGTTGCAAATTTTGGTATTTGGATTCGTTTGGACCGTTCCAGACGATTTAGAGTCTAATAAGCGACTGTATCTTATATTCGTGAGTCTTATAAGTTATAAGCGACGTGCTGTTCACTGTACATATTTATAAGAAATTAATTTTTTCCTACAATAAGCTAAACATTACGTAGATATTAGGTGGCGAGTGTTAAGCTGTGTACCTATTATTGAGTTATTTTATTGATCTCATAATTTTTTTAATAACTTAATTTTAACTTTTAGGTAGCGTCAATGAACGAAATAAGTCAGGTAGATCTCAGGGTGTTAAAAATGTTGATAACATCATTAACATTCTTGGAAGTGTAGTTATAGCTCCAAAATTATCCGTGCATCATAGGTGCGTGGAAACTGTAGTAAGCAAATCATCTGTTCATAAAATGTTCAAAAAAATATATTAAAGGCATATAAAACAAAATTTGTTCAGCAGTTTCATACGAGTGATGAAGAGAGGCGTTTAAAATTTTGTGAATGGGTGTTACATAAAATTAGTCAGGACCCACTATTCATAGATAAATTAATTTTTACCGATGAATCTACTTTTATCAGAAACGGATAAACAAGTAGACACTGGACGTATCATTGGTCTGACGAAAACCCACATGAATCCATAGAATTCCATGCTCAAAATATAGAAAAATTAAATGTTTTTAGTGGAATTTGGAATAGGCAGATCATCTGACTCTTTTTTATTGAAGGAAATTTAAACGAAAAAAAGTATAAAGATTTATTAGAAGAACGTATGTGGCCAATAATTTCTCGATTACTTGATACAAATAGAATAGACCCTATTTTTATCCAAGATGATGCATCAGCATACAATTCAAATATTGTGAGAGGTTGGCTGGACGAGCACTCTCCGGGAAGATGGATGGGAACAAGAGGTACAGTGTTTTGGCCACCAAGGTATTTCGACTTAACACCAATGGATTTATTTTTATGGGGTTATTTGAAAAATCTTGTGCATCCGTCGTGTTCATTGCCTGATCTCCGTCATAAAATTGAACAAAATATTCAAAATATCTTACCTGAGACATTAGAAAATGTTAAAAACGCTTGGGTCCAAAAACTTCAACTCTGTGTTGCAAATAATGGGGGTCACTTCGAACATTAATAAAAAAAAAAATGTAATGAATTATTTTCGTTTTTATGTAATAATTTTTTTTTTCTATTAGTTAAAAATATAAACTGAATTTTAATTTTAATCTTTACTGAAAGCTCCACAAATAATTAAATAATTACAGATTGCCATAAAAGTCAGAGTTCTAATCGTGATTGATTAAATCGTGCAATTCATGTTTTGCTAGGTAACATAACTATTATTATAATTCTTCAAAAACATAACTTGCTCTAACTTGGTCAATTTTTATTCAATTTTAATATATATTTTTTTTTTGAACTGTTTTAAAAAATGGTTATCTTAAAAATATTAAATTCTTAAACGCATAAAAAATTTTTTTGATAATTTTTGAATTATTTAAAAAAAAAAAAAAATTAAATTTTATGACATTCAGTCAGAATTTTCATGTAATTTTTTAATTTAACTTGAAAAGTGAATTTTTTTTAGAATCGAGAATTTTTTCTCACAAAACAAATAAAGATTACTTTTAAGTTTAAAGTGCTACAATATTAACACAAAATCAAATTCTAACTACTACTTATCACAAATGGAATTTAATTAAAAAATAATTCAACTATATTTCTTTAAGGTATAATGTATTTATATAATGTACTTGTAACTATTTTGTCTAAGTTTATGTTTATACAGATCAGAAATCAATAGTACTAATACATGTATAATACACAGATTAATTTAAATGTATTCTTGTGCAAATAATAGAGTAAAAATAATTATTATTGTCGTGTATTTTTATCAATTTAACTAATTTAAGTATACACAGACATTCAAATTTAATTACATACTCGGTTAGAATTTAAAACATTTAATTAGATTCGTGAGATAATTATGTAAAACTTATGATCAAATTAAAAAAAGGTAGTTATTAGGTGTCCAGTGGGTTACTGTTATCGATAAATTAAATTTTAATTAAATGATAGACGAACAACTATTCTGAACGGAAATGGTCTGTCAATCTTAATCACTAAATATATTTCATGATATATTTTTGACATAGCTATTCAAGTTATTTATTTTACTTTTAATAATACGGTAGGTTGAAATAATTTTTTCCAAAACTATTTAATTAATTTTATTATTAGTATTTAATCTTTATAAAAAATATTAATTTATACCATATTATACCAACTTATATAACTCAAAATGCTATTACATCTTTTTATGAATACCGTAAAATAGTAAAAATAAATTCATAGTATAAATAGATAATATTCAAAAATAGATTATTAATATTATTGCGTACATAAAATTCATTTTAATATAATAAACGTAATAGTTTTAAGTTCCCACGGATGATATTTTTAAATCAAAACAAAATATTTATTCATTTTTTTTTATATTTTATGGTTATGGAATTGTTATTAACTATATATGTGTAGTATTGTATTCAATTTTCACAATTTAGACATAAAAATAATTTTTTTATGAATTTTTAACTACAAAATAGTTAAAATTTTATTGAGATTTTTACGAATTTCATGAAAATTCTTTTTTCAAATGCATATAAAAATAATTGTGCTTATGTACTTTTATAATTTGTATACATATTATGTAAATACAACTTACATGAGATATTGTATTAAATGTTTAAAAATCTTGACCCAATCAATAATTTTTTATTGACATTTACAAAAAAAAATTAAAAATATGGCATGCTTATAAATAACTTAAAATGAGTCTTTAAAAATTTAAAAATTGTATGATGTATTAAAAATTATAATTTAAACATTTTGGGAATATTTCAAGAATCTATGGATAGTTTTTTTTTAATTAAAAAAAAAATCAATTGCGTTAAAATTGAATTGTAGTGCGATATTAATATTTTTTTAAAGTTTTTTTTTTTTTTTTTTTTTTTTTTTTTATTTATTAAAATTAAAATGTTTCAGCATATTGAGCATGCTATTACAAGTTTGTTAACAGTTTATATTTAATGGCAAATTAAGGTTTTATTTTAGAATATTTCCATAATTTTAGAATTTCAAATGGATACTATTTCATATTTATTATATTAATATCTTATTAAAACCTACTATTATTATAATTATTTCTGAATACACTTTTAGTTTTTAAAATAACATTGTATGTGTGATTTTATCGGGTTAATTGAAAAGATAAAAATATTATCGTAACATTTTGCTGAATATTTAAATTATATACATATCTATTGTTTTTAAGATTTCGTATTCAAAAGTAGGAATATAATGTATAGGGTATAAAAATTACTATTTTCTATTTATTAACTTTTAAATTTAAATTTAAAATAATGAAATAAAAATCTGTCAGCCATAGAAATTCTAAAACTTTTTTATTAAATTTGAATAGATAATTTTTAATTTAGTTAATTACACAATAGAGCTCTATAGATATAATTCTTTTCGTATCAAAGACCATATTATATATATGGACTATTTATAAATTGCATACGGTGAATTTTATAGAATATGAAAAAAAAACAGCAACTTAAAACGTATTTTTACAAAAAAGAGGTCAAATTTGACACTTTTATATTTTTATGTCAATTTAAGAATATATAAATTTTTTAAAGGTATGTGGTATTATGAAAGATAAATCTTTTTACAAGATCATCGTTGATGTATCAATGACATTGCTGAATAATATGAAAATAAGTTAATATCTCATAAATTCTCTACAGCAAAAAAAAAAAAAAAAAACCACCACACACAGAAAATATTGTTTGTTACTAAAATAGCGAGGTGTCATATTATTTTAAAATAGATAAAATTAAATATACGTCGTATAGAACGTTGTAACTACTAATAACCCTTGAGATTATATTATTTTACATTATAATATGTAAAAACTTTTCATGTGGTCAATTACTTACTACGTGTACCTGTATGCACATTAATTATTTTCATGTTTCAGTAAGCGTGTAATCGCATCTCTCATTTTAAACCCTGTACAAAATACTAAGTGCTTATACTAATAATATGTGCCAGGTAAATTTTAGTATATTAATCAAACGTAAAAATTGTAAACAGTGAATAATGAAAAGCTTCTTAGAACTTTTAGAATTAATTTTAAAAGTCTACGCTCTTGTGCTAAAGGAACCGTAAGAAATTTGTATAATGTTATAAAATTATGTATTTTACTTTCTATATTGTGATATTACAATAACATTATTTATGGTACATTAATCAATGATTTCACGAAGCCTAGGCTTTAAGATCTACAAAAATATAATACAATTTGAGGTAGATATTAAACAATATCTTTCAACATAAAACGTGTCTACAGTTTCGTTCAGAAGATAAACTGTTTTTTGAATGTCTTGTCATAGCCAAAATTAAATTTCGAACAGCGTTTCGTTGCACTAAAACAATAAATAAACTGCCACAATGGTGTAAGCGTTTACCCCACTTAAAGCGTATTGTTAAGTACAAGTTTGGTTTTGAATGCCTCCGATAATGAGCAAGTAAACATTGCGTAACGCTATTAAGGATAGTTCGCGGCTTTAACTAATACATCCTTAATACGACGATCCCGTCATTTGTCATTTCATACTTGACACCTTAGATAATCTTTGACGATCACCAGGAAAAAATATTTCATGATTTTAATTTAATTTTCTCACCAATATTTGTATATTTACTATTTAAGTAATATTTAAATTTTGGATTTCACCTAAAATTAAATTAAATTAATAAAATATGTATTCCATGTTATGAAATTAATTTGTGTTAGATTAAGTCATGTTAAACTATTATTTGATTTTGATAGATAGTAATGTAGCACTTATAAATAACTTATAAATTATGAAATATCTTTCAAAAAAATCAAGTATCAAATACATAATATATAAGCAATTTACTTAAATAATTAAATTATCTTATAAAAATTATAAATTCATACGTCACTTTAGATTTGTTTAAATTGTTTTATGTTTATCAAACAGAACCATGATTTTATATTTATAAAACAGGGTGATTCATTTATCGTAAAACATTATTTCAGTTTTTGAAAATATTTATTTAAGATAATTTTATGTTATTACTCATTACAATACAATATTTCTTGGATAACAATTATATTTGTTACTGTTATAATCGTTATCATTATTAGAGTGTTTTACTGTTTTAAATGACAAATTATATTTTAATTTCATATTCTTTAGCAGAATAATATTTGAAATATTATGTTCTATAAAAATCAAATCACGGAAGTTAAGTTTCAACAGTAAAAACAGTAAAAACTAAAAATATAAATTTCGTTTTTATTGACTTAAAATATTGTAAAATAAAATATTTTCAAAAAAATTAACATTTATGAATGTTTTGCATTAAATAATCACTCATTAAAGTTAAAGCCATACAGTCATAATTACGTTTGTTTAATTATATTAGTTTTTCAAGATTTTTGTATATTACCTGAAGTACACGAAGCCTAAGGACCATAGCAAATGGATATATTTTCGGTGGTGATGTGTAAATCATTTTATCGTCTAATAACATATTATCTTCGTTGAGTATGATTACTTGTTCTTTTCTATGGTTTAGTCGGATCGTCTGTAATCATACATTCAAATATATAATTTATATTCATGTATATAAGCCTTTAAATACATTTACAAGCGAAAAATAACAAATGGAAACATTATTAACGTTTCTCTTGTGAAACATAATAACAATATTATGTATGATATTATTTATGTTATTATATGTCGTTATAAGTTAAGACGGGTTATAGTAACGTATATGGATACGGGTTGTACTACAAAATGAGATTTATACACTTAAATGTATCGATATGTATTTGGGTATGTAGTCTATTAGAAGCCTATACGTGAATATATATTAGATGATAAGTGCAATAATTATAAATTGTAATACCTATATACTATCTATCGAATAAAAAATAAACAAACAAAATGTAAATTTTTACCAATGTCTTTTTTTTTTACTACTATTTATTGCCAAAAGTGGTATTTTAACTATTAATATACTTTATTCTGTAGTGTTACTGAATAAAAAAAAATTAAATCACATAAATAATTTAATTGTACCTATCTATATAAAAACAAATTTATATAATATCTCAATAACGCAAATATTAGGTTGATACAATGAACAAATTTCTCTACAATTTTTTCATTGGAAATGAGATGCACATGACAATTTTTATTGTTGCAGGACTTAGAAATTTATGTGTTGCCTTTTTGAAAGGGGTGGTTTCTAAAAAACATTGTATAGTTTATATCTGTCAAAAATTGCAATACCATAAATCTAATGAATATCTCATAATGGTTTGTCGTGTAACTATTACTTCTCGTAAATGGATGCGTTTTCAGTAATTTATTTTTAATCTTTTGTGGTTTATTTTATTCAAACATAGGAAATAATAAAACCAAAAATAGTTAAGAAATATAAATTTTTATAGTTAAAAATAAAACCCTTAATGTTAAATAGTGCATGGTGCATGCATTTCGAAACAATGTAATCTGTCAATGTAACTTTACTTATAATATGAAATATCTAATATATTATAGAATGATTAATTATTATAATAATTATTTATTCAGTTACAATAAAAATGTATATTAATACTGTATACTAGTATTAAAGGTATATTAAAAGAAGTTCTATTTAATAATTTTAATTATTTGGTACCTAATACCATTTATATAACACAAAACAAATATAATAAAATAATTATTTCTCGTATCTTGAACACAAATTTTATTTTTTTTACTTGTGATAATAATAAAATTAAATATCAGTTTTAAAGTTTTGGATTTTTAAAATACAAAGTTCTATTTATTAGTCTTATACCCCAATTTTAATTGTAATTTCAACATAATTATATGAAAATATTTTAATAATTACTCGTGTTTGATTTTAATTTGTATTTTAACACGATTATTTTGATTTTCTATAATTTTGGGTCATTGGATTATTGTGATAAAAATAACAAAAACAGTTTCATTAATTTTGAAAGGAAATAAAATAGATATTCAATCAATCTTCAATCGCGTAAGAATAAAATTATTTTGTATTTTTTTTTTTTTTTATTATTAATTTAATTTAAATATTTAATTAGCAGCGAAGTTGAAAATATTAAAGATTAACTATAAAAGTAAATCGAGTTTAAAAACATAATATTTATTATGTTTTTATTTAACAAAATCATTATTATTATTACTTTTATCGTACGAATATTTATTATGACCTGATGAAAACAAACGTTTATAGAAAAAAAAATTAATAACGTTGATTCAATAAGTGGATTACTCAATCATAATATATAGTATACAATCATGCCTCATAATTCTAAAGGACATTGAGCATGCTTAACTGTAATACAATTCTATATATATGTGTGTAAATACATTGTAATAAACATGCCCGATTACACTTAAAAAAATATATTTAATAGTTAGTTAATATTATATTTTATAAAACAAATAAATATTATTTGTACGACACCTATTTTGGATTTTCATTAACGATAAGTGGAGTGACAGATTAAAAAAAACACTGAGTAATACTAAGATAATACTGGTTACAAGATGTTATCTAAATTGCCTATTCAACACGCCGTATTACATAAATCATCATGTATTTTGATAACATAATTGTCATTACCAATTATTATATAATTATAATTTCTATGATTATTTAAATCAAATTTTTTTATGTACCCAAAGAAAAATGTTTTAATTGTTATAACTTTTTCATGTATTATAAGGTCTAAGAGAATCGCATACCTGCGTACTAAATTATACTAAATTAGCACTTCTGACATTAAAATCAAATTTAGAATTTTAACTTCACTTATTGAGAGGCGATTTCCTTTTTAATTTTATAAGTGTGTATGCACAGGTTGTGTATAAATTTTAAATAAAAAAAAAAATCTGTACCTATATTATAGCTGGTAATATTAGTTTATATTTTTTATACAATTTAAAAATAAAAATAAAAATAGAAATATTTAACTAGTACTTAAAAATGAATATACCACTTTTTAAGTGGGTATTTATATTAAAAATATAATATACGAGGGTTATGTAATGGATATTAGAGATAAAACTAGGATTAGTTATACTTATAAGTTATAATACATCTAGTATTGGACACTATTGTGTAAATAAGCGAGTGATTCAATTTTATTTTAATTAAAATTCGTTAATATAAAAAAACTTATAAACTTTTAAGTAAAGTATAAAAATGTTCAAAATTCGTTAAGTATTTTTACTGTATCAGTGTTATAAATTATTGGATGAAAATATCAATATTTTCTAGGTTAATTATTTTTAAATTAGAACAAATTTGTAATAAGATTGATAATAGTCCATTAAAATCTATGTAACATAAATTCTTAAGTTTATATGATGTTTTTAACAATTTTTATGAAAACTTCTAAAAATGACCTCAATACATAGAGCACGATTTTATTTGATATCCTATAAATTGTTATGTGGTCACATAAAAATTATGGAGCAGTCTTGCTACCAAAAAAACATGATCATATAAACCAAATCATAAAAAATAAAAATATATCATTGATTTACCAATAAATTCCTCACTAATTTTAGAAATTTAAACAAAATTTAATATTATATATGTAAAAAATAAAACATTGTATATATATTTTTGGATAAAACAAAATTAATTATTATTCAGATGATAACATTTTCGAAGTATGGTTAATATCAACATGTGTCTGAAAAAATATATATGATAAGAAACACAAAATAAATAAATTTGTTTATAAACAAAATTAAATAAATCTGTATTTCTTAACTTACCAGTTATTTAATTATATTCTTATCTCAATAAAAACTTTGAAAAAATAAAATAATGTTAGTTTATATGTTTTGTCGATTTAAAGACTTTAGGTGCATAGAAATTTAATTTAAACATATTGAAGATAACTTTTATTTAGTATAGAAAATAATGTATTCATGTAAGAAATACATAACAAATAATTATATGTAATAATTATAAAACAATATTTGTTTTTTGACATGTATAACATTAAATTTTCAAACGTACTTCACAATTTTTTATTTTTTTTTTGGTTACAAAACAGAATTACTAAGACAAAGCACTACGAAAATTATTGTATTGTATTTCCGGAGCACTAAAATATAAAGAAAGACGAATGATTTCCTTTTTTAACATCCGGCATGATGTTATTAATACAACCATTATGTCAAAGCAAATATTGCCTTTAAAATAAAACAAAAATCATTACAAGTTTTATCAATATCCATAAAATAATAAATCACAATTTATTCTTATTATTATAAAGTAATAAGCTTTACTATCATCCAGAAAAATTAAGTACGCTTGTGAAAGCATCAAGCGTAAAATAAATTCATATCACCATTTTTAAGTTTAAAAATTTGTTTAGGATAAGGCCAAAGAGCTTTAAGAAATCATATATTAACGAAATGGTTGTCGTAATAAAAAAATATAAATAAAAAATAATATAGGCAAGATACAGAGACTGCAGAATCAATACATTGTGAACATTTTTCTTGATTCATTCACCCATAAACCATTATACCTTCGAAATACTATTATATTTGAATTAAATCATATGTATAAATATCAATTAAAAAATACAAATTAAAATTAATATTTATAATTATTGCTAATTTTGTATTAAATATGTATAATACTATAAAATAAGATGGTTTAATAACATAAATATTTTAATTTTAGTGAGTTTTTGTATTTTTGATTTTATTTTAATTACGTATGTCAGTATGAGAACACACATATATTAAGATATATTCAGACCTTTATAAATATTATACATATGTTATCGATTGCGATAATAAATTATGTATAGTACATGCCTTTTAAATTATAATTTAAAAAAGTTATGATTCAATTTTCATGATAGTTTTTTAGGTAAAAGAAAAACCTACCGACAAAACAAAGTTTTGTTTATCATCTATATTATAGAAAACTATATTCTTAAATATTTAACTCGCTGGATGAAATCTGAATACTGAAGATAATGTTACTCATATCATATTTATTATAATACATTTCAAAATGATCTACTCTTAAATTAACCAACCTTTTTAAATGTACGAAACTTTTAAAATATAGAATATTTATACGTTCTAAAATAATACAGAGACCACTTCTTAATTTGTTCTCAGCATAGAATAGAACCGGTAGAAACATATATATATATATAGCGTAGAATAATTATTTTAACTTAAGAGAGAATATTTTCAAATTTATTGAGTATTATAATATTGTGAATACATGGATTATATTAATGGTTAAATTATTTAATTATAAATAATCTTATAACTGACGATTATAGTACAGAAAAATAAAAATATTATTAAAAAAAATCAAAAAGTAACATAGTTAAAAGATCTCTATAATTCAATTTTAAATGAATATATATATAATGAAAAAAATGTTATCAGAGTTAAAATAATTGAAAAATTAGCAAGTTTAATGATTCTATGTATATTTATGTACTTATAAAAACTTGGAAAAATCATTAATATATTAACAGAACTTGAATATTTAAAATC